CTCCTCAGCACAAATTCTCTTTAGATTTGGTCTCTCCTCTCTAGAAGCACACATATGTTGAATGATTAAGCATACACTCGTCATGGATGATCGTTTACTAAAAGCACTCAATTTCTCAGCCAACGACAGCCAGCTTTTTGTATGTCGATTAAGTTCGACTTGGAAATAATATCTCATGAACTGCAAAATTATGTCAAGCTGATGGTTTTCTTATTCCTTTTTCTTGATGCATTAAGAGTAACTAATGATGTCAATCTTGAACTCTAGAATTTTACGGACTCATTTGTCATCAACTCTGCTACAAGAGTCCATTTTATTAAAAAGAATAAAAGATAAGAATAATTATTGATGAAGCTTTATTTAAGTAGCTTTAGCTTGAAAAATCTTATCTTCTATCACATTTCACCTTTGACCTACAAAGATGACAAGTGGGCAATGTCATGGATGCCGATTTAACCCAAAGCAACAAAATCCTCTATGCCACGTTAATGGTCATTGCATTGGATCGATCATGACGACTATACATATCACATCAACAATCAATACTCTCGATGGATACGTGAATCGTCTTTGTAATTATAAGTGGTTAGGAAGCTTCGACCTTTTTTCTCTTCTCCTTCTTTGAACTCTTAATTACTACTTTATACTATCAATTGACTTAGGTTTCAAAGGTATATCATATACTCATCTTTTCTTACAAATACTTTTAAGAGCAACTCAGTATCATATTGGGAGTTCCACCTTGGGGCTTCGTCTCCACATCAGTTGACTTCTCCTCGACATCTCGATTGGATTTGGAGACAATTCTTGTAATCATACATTTAGTTAGATTATGATATAGCTATATGTACATAATCTTGACCAACATCACTGTCAAACCTTCTTAAACATGTGATATATACTTTTTTGAATCAACTACGATGGAGGTTTCAGAAACTTGTAAGAAAGTAAAGACGCATAACATGCAACCACTCAAACTATAATCTTGATGGGCATACAAAAAGAAAATGAATCTGAAAATATTTATGAGCCTATGAATAATATAATACGATGAAAAAGAATAAAATTAGAATTGATACGGTGAAAAAGGAAAAAGTATTGTATAAGACTCAAACGATCGAAATAGCACATACAATTTTCATCGTATAGTATATGTTGTAAGCTTCAATAAAGTGCTTTCATATTTCTTCAACAAGTCTTCATAATGCACACCCTTCTTCTTATATGACTCGATCCACTAAGGAATGGAAATTTCTTGTTCGGCCCAACCCATTTTGGGGATGAAAAAAGTACTTTTGTTGAATGAATATCTTCCTAATTCTTCTTTCATAATGGTAAGAAATATAAAATCAATTAATCATTATTTGTGATGCTAGCATTATGTTAGGCCGACACCCTTCGGTCTACAAAGACAAGAGCTTAAAAGGTAACTTAGATCAATTATCGAGTTGCTAAGCTATCGAGTTATGGAGCTATCATCCTTATCGAATACTCGTAGAAATATTCTTAGAAGCCGATAATTTAGGTCGGTTATGAATGACTCCGGAAGAAATATTTGTAAGAATATTCTTGAAAGTCTAAAAAGTAGTTCGGTTCAGTTACGAACCGACCCATTATGGAATATTCATAAGAATATTTTCGAAAGCCTAGAAAACAATTCGGATCGATTATGAATTGACTCCCCAAGGAATATTTATAAGAATATTCTTAAAAGCTTAGAAGGAATCTCAAGTCGATTTACATGAATATTCACATGAAACCAACCCCCAACAGAATATTCACATGAATATTTTCGAAAATCAGAAGGTAATTTATGTCAACTATGAACCAGTTTCTAATAGAATATTTGTAGGAATATTCTTGAAAGCCTAGAAGACAGTTCGAGTCAATTACGAACTAGCCCTAATAGAATATTCATAAGTATATTCTCAAAAGTCCAAAAGAAAGTTTGGAACGATTATGAATTGCCTTATTCATACGATATTTATAAGATACTCATTCTCTTCGAGCTTAGTATACGTGAAACTCAAAACTAATTTTAACATCGGAGAGATTGACTCAAGAGATCTCTCTACTTAAGTCTTTCGTGTTCGAAATGAGTATAGAGAAATCACGCTGGACAACTCATCGTATATATATTAGTGCCACATCATGCTGACATAGACATCAATAATATTTTTTCCTAACACATAATATTTAATATTTTTCAAAAGATATTCAAGCCTTTTATTTATTATAAAAATGAAAGAAAAAATATTTATTATTTGGTTCTTTCTTTCAATTTCCTTTTAGTCTATTTAATAAACGCATTCTCTTTTGTCTTTTGTCAATATGGAGGGAAAATAATAGAATGTGATATAAAAAGAAGAAGAATCTAAAAATAGTAAAGATAACACTTACGTCGTTTAGTACAATAAAATATCTAAGAATAATTTTCTCTAAATTACTCTAAATCTCAAATCCGAAATCTTTAAATCTATTTTTTTCAAAGCAGTCAAAATATTTTTCTTCCACAACACGTACTGAAATCTTGGCATGCTTCGCCACGCCTCACCACTTTCTAATGTCTATATCATGGCTATTGTTCTCTCGTTCCTCTCGCCCTCCACCAACACCTCACTTCGCATTCACATGTTGTGGTATCCCCGAACCATCAATAATGTAGTAGCTTCTTCTTTTATCTTCGTTATTACACAATCATCATCATCGTCATCATCATTCCCTATAAATGCTATTGCATGAAGCATGTATTGCACCGTATAACATGAACCGCACTAATACTCAAAACGCTGATATAGATTTTGATTATCTATGACATCGAATTACGAAAACAATCTCGATTCTATAAGTTTGTTGTCAGGAGATGATTACAAAATCCAAAAAACAAGAAACTAAGAGCATGAGTAAGGCACTAATGGTAAAGTGGGCGACCTTCCATTGATCAACAACAACATTGCGTGTGGAGGCGTGGAATGGAGGGGGGGAGAGTCGAAAGATAGCGCATGGTATTGACTCTCCTTGCACCATTGTGGTTGTCGAGTGGGCGGCCCCCAAAGCTTTCGCAGCACTCTCGACGGCGACCGCCAAAACAAAGTGGCCTTCACGCGCTCGCTACGTGAATGGTGGCGGCTGACGACCAACCAATACACACACACCCATACGTATCGCAGCAAGTTGGATTACGGTTCCTATCGCTTGGATCAATTTAGTATGGGAACATGATATGGTCATGAGATTAGACAATGAGAAGTACCACTACAAAGTTAAGTTGTTGATGCTTATTATGCCCTCTAATTCACAAGAATCGAGGCTCACTATAGTTCTTGCTCGACCTTGTCGATGGAATAATGATTGTAACACTAACACCCTTTCATATTTATTAAACCTCGGATTAGGTTACATTAATTACTCATTCAACTCCACTATCATCTTTTTAAGATTCCGCCACCTTTTTGGTAGTGGAAAGGTGGAGTTGCCACTTAGCTCTTGGATTTTAAGTTTACCTAACCCCCTTAGTGCCTTTTATTGCATGTCATCTCTCTCCCTCTCTCTCTCTCTCTCTCTCTCTCATCTTAAGCTAGCGAGTAAATTTTAATTATATATGCTTCTACAAAACTATAAAAATTACGGATATATATATATATTATAATAATAGGAATTTGTCCCTCTAATATATAATTTACGAAATTATAAACATATTTTATATATTTAAAATTTTAATCCATTTGAATGCATTGACGACAATGATTAATAGTGAGTAATTTGAGTCAATTAAACGGATGTTAATGAGTAATCTTTGACGATTCGATTATTTGTCACGTTTGACTAAGATCGCACATGATTGATTATACATGTGGATTAATTTTTACTTACTCGAATAAATTATTAAAGATCATTTTTGACTCTAAATCTCGACATATGAAACAACAAAATAATTATCACTTACTTGCACGAGAGGTTGATAATTTGGATTTGGTGGTACATAAATAAATAATTGAGTTTCTTAAATCCAAATCCATCGAATGAGTAACAAAAACAAAAGAGAAATTGGACTCAAAAGTGTCCAAATATAAATGAATCGACAATGTCTCTCGATTAGCATGCGAACATCATTCCTATCAAATCAAGGGCACAAATTTCCAAGCGGCCATCAAATCAAAAAGTTATCGCTATGTATATTTACATCTCATGGAATCTTTTGCTCGATTGAAACACTACTGCCCCCATCCCTCTCTCTGTCCAAAGATGCATGCCCTTTGCAGCAAACAAACATTATATACCATATGATTCCAATGTTGGAAGTATATATTGCTACATTATTGAGCTGGAGGACATGATCATGTGACTGACTACATGCCTCATGGGACGATTCCAATGCCAATTCATTCTTGGGTTTGCATCACATTATGGACAACCCTTCTTGTTACTATTAGTTAGGAGACAAGTCTTGTCTACCACATTATTGATATTGCATGTAAAAGAAGTGTCTTTGATCGAGCACTAAAGTATGTATTGCTGAATAGCTATCAATTCACTTCACCAAATCTCTTTTATACATACCAAAGTGAATAACTTGAATTTTCTAGATGTATATAGATAGAGAATTATAATATTTTTTAAAAAAATTATATTAATTTTGTATCGTCTCGTCAAGATTCGATATATGAAACTTAGTCGATAAATCTTTAACTCATGTGATGTTGGGATCAAATAATTCTCGAAAAATGAGTTAGATGATAATTCTTAGATTGTATTGATGATAATTATTATGAAGGATAAATAGTCTCGTAAAATAGGTTAATGATCAATTTATTACTAATAAATATTTTAATTGGGAAAAAGCAAAGCTAAATATCTGACTCTGACATGCGTAATAATACATTGTTGGGTAAGGCAGTTTCCTCAATCGAGCACAGTAGTCTCGCGAACGGTAACAATTCATTGCGGTGGATTGAAATGGCAAGTGTTTCTTCCTCGAGTTACGAGAGAGAGAGAGAGAGACGAAGGAGAAGGAGGAGAAGAAGCGTCGAGATTTGTTCCACGATCTGAGACCCTACGATCTCCGTCGAGATGGTGTGAAATGTGTTCGAATCCGAGTGGGGACAGTGACATATATTGTGTTGGGACGTGTGGAACATGGAAGGGAAGAAGAAAGCAGAGGATTTTGGTTCGGTTGTCTGCGATTCCCGTCCTATCAGCGGTTCTTTTTTCAATTATCTGCACTCTCGGGCACGCATTCACGCGCACTCCCTCTCGTTCGCACATATAAGCCCCCTGCTCCTTCCTCCAAAGGTGAAAGGTACTTGCTCTACGGCACGGCCGTGAACAGAGAAAGGAAAGGAAAGGAAAGGAAGAAGAGAAGCAGGGTAATCGATAGAGAGAAGGAGATGCAGAGGCGCAGGTTGAGACCGAGCAGCGTGGCCGTCCTGCGGTCGGTGCTGATATGCGCCATCGCCACCGTCTCCCTGGTGGCGCTGCTGGACGTGCACGTTTCCCCCTCCTCCTCCTCGCCCTTCCGCGCGGCTTACACGCTCGCCAAGGTCTCTCCTTGTCTTCTCCCTCTGTTTGCTTCTCTTGGCCATTCGACGTTTCTTTGGTAAAGGCTGCTTCTTGATGCTGTTTTCTTTGGATTTTTTCGGCGGTTTTGGAGATGTTCTTTTCGTTTGTATCTCTCTCGATTGTCGATGTGTCTTGAGCAAGAACCGGTTCTTTAGCGATAGGATCTGTTCGTGCCTCTTTGTCGTTGATGTTTCTTGGATAAAAATCGATTCTTTTAGTGTTTTCAGCAACAATATCGGTATGAGAAACCGCCGCCTTTAGTTCTCTTGATGGTTCTTGAATAAAATTGAACGAAAGGGATTGTTCGATGGGAAGCTGTTCTTCTACAGATTCTTTCTTGGTTATATAACTTCTCATTCCTTTCTAGCTCACTGTTCTTCCTTGTTCTGTGGAAGATATCATAACGGTGCAATGACAATACGACAATTAACTGCAGAGACATGAGATTGGGTATGGAAGTCGGCGTTCTGAGCTCGCGTGGATGCAAGAAATGGCTCCTCCTCAACTCTCCAAGGCGCCCACCGCATTCCATCAGGTACCTCTCCGGCCCGATGGCTTCGATAGATTTTGCCTTCATCTTAACGCCAAAGTTGCAATTCCTCACTGCCTGATCCCGTTGACGTCAGTCTTTGGAACGCTAAGTAAACTATGCCATCTCTTCCATTCTTTTCACTCCTCTAGATTTGACAGTGGGATGATACCAACCAGGAGGCGTCGCAGGAATCGGAGAAGCTGTGGAAGCCTCCATCAAATCATGGTGGTTTTGTGCCTTGCGTTAAACCCACCTCATCGTACTCACGTAATGTATTTCCGCTTTGTTCCTGTTCCTTCTTCTTTCTTCGTTTGGCTGTTCATGTCAAGAAATGGCTTCTCTTGCTGCAGCTCCTGGAGAGTCACGAGGATACTTGTTAGTGAGCACCAATGGTGGGCTGAACCAGATGAGAGCAGGAGTAAGCAATTGTTCCTTGTTTCTTTGCTTGTGTTCTGTTCTAGATGGTCAAAGAACGAATCCAATTTGCACTTCTACTTTGCCTGAATAGTTGTCCAAGAAGAAAATTGAATTAACTGCAAGCATATGTCAACTGTCTTGAGTTGATTGAACATGAACATGAACATAGTGTTGGAAATTAATCGGTCTCTTTGCTAATATTTGCTTTCTATTCTTATTGAGCAACAAAGAAAATAATTAGGCAGCAAGCTACCATCCATAAATAATATTGTGTGTGTGTGTGTGGGCATAGTACTTTAATTGCCAAATAAAGGCAAAGCAGGAAGTAATAGGAAACAAAGATGCATCTTCTGCAACCAGGAACACAATCAGTAAATTATGTTGATTTCATATGCAAGCAAGTCAAGTCAAGTCAATTGCAGGTTCTGGAAATGGAAGAATTGGTAGTTTGATCACAATCTTGACATCAAATTCTGACCAATTGTTATGAACCCTATCTATATTGGCTCTACCTAGCAGTTTTCAAGGAAAAGCTAAGATATATCATGAAGGGCTATCACTCTTTGATTGCTACACAGAGAATCCTGCAGTTTGGTCACAATCTTGACTTCAAATTCTGACCAATTGTTATGAACCCTATCTATATTGGCTCTACCTTACAGTTTTTAAGGAAAAGCTAAATATATCACGAACGGCTATCACTCTTTGATTGCTATACAGAGATTCCTGCAGTTTGGTCACAATCTTGACATCAAATTCTGACCAATTGTTATGATTCCTATCTATGTTGGCTCTGCCTAACAGTTTTTAAGGAAAAACTAAGGGATATTATGATTACTCTTTGATTGCTACACAGAGAATCCTGTAATTGGATTTAGCCAAAGTAGTTGTCCTGGTTGAATTGCCCACTAAGAAACTAGCAAAAAATGGGTTTTCAATTAAAATTAAACTAAATTATTGAAAAGTAACAGTTTTTTTGTGTCGCATCACAATAATGCCTGAGAAAATCTTAATGATTGAATTTTTTTTACTGCTTGAGAAAATCTTATTGCTTGAAAATCTATTGCTTGCCAATAATGCCTGAGAAAATCTTAATCCTTGAATTTTATTTTGCTGCCTCCCAATCTTGCCAATACTGTTAAGTTTCCTCTTTAAACTCGATAGTTATTCCAAAGATTCATTAGAATGTTTCAATACTTGTGTGATTTCTTTTCCTAATTTCTTATGAGTGCATTGCACTTTTCATGGCAGATATCTGACATGGTAGCCATCGCACGGATTATAAATGCCACTCTTGTGATTCCAATACTTGATAAGAGCTCATTTTGGCAAGATTCAAGGTAGTACTCGAAATCTTCATGTTCCTTTAAAAACTTTGAAACTTCATCTTGTACTAATAGATGCATCATTTCATGGCAGCAATTTTTCAGATGTCTTTGATGAAGATTATTTCATACATTCTTTGGCAAATGATGTGAAAATCATGAAGAAACTACCAAAGGAGTTTGCTGCAGCTACCAAATCTGTGAAATATTTCAAAAGCTGGTCCGGGATAGAATATTACCGTGACAAGATATCTCAATTATGGGATTATCACAAGGTGTGGTCTCTGTATTAACCTAAAAGGAGAAAAATAAACTTCTATACCATCCTGTATGCATTTTAATTCTTGAAATTGATTCGCAGGTCATTCGTGCCGCGAAATCAGATTCTCGTCTTGCTAACAACAATTTGCCCCCCGACATACAAAAGCTTCGTTGCCGGGCTTTCTATCAGGCTCTTCGTTTTGCCCCTGGCATCGAAGGACTAGGAAAAGTAATAGCCTAGTTATACTTGTCGATCCGTTAACATACTTGCATTAGGATCTTATTTTTGTGGTAATCTGCTTTCCATGCAAATTGTAGTTATTGGTTGAGAGAATGAGATCATATGGTCCATTTATTGCTCTACACTTGCGGTATGAGAAGGACATGCTTGCTTTTAGTGGTTGCACATATGGTCTGAGTGCTTCTGAAGCTGATGAGCTGACAACAATTAGGTAAGTACTTTGACAGATCAATATCTCTATTGCCTCAGCAATCAATTCCCTCGATCTTATTATGTTCTTCTACTTTGGCAGAGAAATTATACCATATTGGAAGGTGAAAGATATTGACCCCATGCAACAGAGATCAAAGGGCTATTGTCCCCTTACACCAAAAGAGGTTGGAATTTTCCTCTCTGCTTTAGGATATCCATCAAATACCCCAATATACATTGCAGCAGGAGACATTTACGGAGGTGATTCTCATATGGTTGATCTGGAATCCCATTTCCCCATACTAATGAGCAAGGTACAAATACATTTCAAAGTGTTCTTTCCTTGAAATCTCTTCTTTCTTTCTTCCTTCTCGGGTCTTAAGTTCGTAGCTTCCTAGGAAAAGTTGGCATCAGCAGATGAGCTGGAACCATTCAGACCGTATGCAGCTCAAATGGCGGCGTTGGATTACATCGTCTCTGTGGAGAGTGATGTTTTCGTTTCATCGTACTTGGGAAACATGGCGAGGGCAGTCGAGGGCCACCGCCGCTTCTTGGGACACAGAAGAACCATCACTCCTGATAGGTAAAGCTGCTAACTTACAAGGAACCATTAAAGCTCGATCGATCTCACTCAATTATGCCCCTGCAGGAAGGCACTGGTTCATTTGTTTGATAAAATCGAGCGGGGATCGATTAAAGAAGGAAAAAAGCTATCAGATATGACATCTGAAATCCATAAAAGACGGTATGTGATCATCGAAAAATCCCATCTTTACGTTCTTGCTTCAGTATTGATCTCATTGCATGAGTTCATCAGACAAGGGTCGCCTCGTAAGAGAAAAGGTCCCATCTCCGGAACCAGAGGAAAAGAGAGGTTTCGATCCGAGGAAGCGTTCTACGAGAACCCTCTTCCCGATTGTTTATGCCGGTCGGAATCAGATGTTACGAGTTCTCAGAGACCGTGAGAGATTTAGATTCGTAGACGTTAACCAACTGAAGAGTTTGGAGCTGGTTGCACTGTAGCAGATTGAAGCTGCAGATTACAGAGACGCAATCCGAGTCCCGTAGCTCCAAAGCAAAAGCAGGTAGAAGGCTGAAGGATGGGAGTGCCATACAAAAGCTTGCAGCTTGGCTTCACTCAGATACTGATCGCCACAAAATAGGAATAGCTTCTCTTTTCTCAGAAAAAGGCAATTTTTTTTTTGACTGGAAAATAATCACCATGTGTGTCTTCGTGAGCTGACAACTAAATGGAATCTATATATATATTTGTATGGCTTCTATTCCGGCGGCTTTATCGCATCCGCGTGTGGCCCTGGCAGGTGTGGGCCCCATTGAAACTTTGTAACTTCGTGTGTATATATATATATGTTTGCTGTCTCAAAGAGCATCACAAAAAACCATTAGCTTCCTTAATCCATGGACGAGGCTCTTGAGCCAATAGCAGGCCGCCAGCAATGATTCACGATCCACCTCGGGACCTAAGCATAGATCTCAACCGTTGGTCCAATGGCAAGGAAACACAACAACACGGGATCTCAACCGTCCCCACACCGACGCGAGGAAAACCAAGGAGGATTCATCTCAGCCGCTGATCACATCGATCAGACGACACAGAGAGACAGAGAGCGAGCGATATAGAGAGAGAGGGAGTTCGCGGGAGGGTTATTAAACGGGCTCGACTTGCGACTTCGTTCGAGTTTTGGTCGTCGGCTTTGGGTTCGAAGCTTTCGAGAGGTAGGAATCCGGCTTGGTTCCTTGTAATTTTGTTGGGCTGTTTCGGATATATTTTGTTCGCTTGTTGGTTTCCTGTTTGATTTCTTGATGTTATCTCGTTGGCGTTTCTTCTTTTCTTTGTTATTATTGAGTTAGGAGGGTTTTTTTATCTTTTCTGGATGCGGCGGAACGCTGCCACAGTTGCGTATTTGGGTGTAGGAATTCGAAGCGATTGCTGATATCATCGTTGCACATTGTGGTTCGTTCGATATTGGAGGGTTCTGTTGTCGCTGTTACCAATCTTTAATCTCTGATGTGTTGTTTGGTCGAATAGTGCATCGTCGTAATAGAAATATCTTATTGTACACATATGAAACAATTACAGAAATTCTAATTGATCTAATTGGGGGTTTGCTATTCTTTCTTGGATTGCCTCTCGGTTGTGCAATTTTCTTGAGAAATTGGAACCTATTGATTGCGTATGAGAACGATAGGTGCTATGAAGTTTGAGGTTTACTGCATGTTCGTTTGGGGCTGGGATCATTCTCCACACTGTTGAAATCGGGAATTCTTTAGAGTGATGTGCTATGTGCTTTGTGTATAATCTGTGTGGGAGAACTGATTTGTAGACCCTTTATCTGATTATATGTGGCCAGAGCTAGGAGCTTTTAGTTTAATGATGGCAATGTGATTCATCTTCAATAAATTCTCAAATTGAGAGCGCAAGTGATTTTAATTACAGTTGGCCTCCATCTGCATGAAATTTAGGCTTCTGTCTTGGTTGTTTACTTAGGCCAGGGAATAACTTTTTTTTGGAGCTATTGCTAAAAACTATTGGGGAATTGGAGAAATTATATTCCTCTTAGAGTCATTAGTGGATATGGTTATGGATATGGGTTATATTGTGATGGATATTGATGGAAACTTGGTTCAGGTGGAAATAAATTTGATCAATACATAAATCAAATATGTTGCAAATAACTTTTAAGGTGGTTGCTCATTTTCTTAATTATGTTTCTTGGACAGGAAGACCGAGTCAAGTGTAATAGAAAAAACTAAATCTTATTGTTTTCTAATGCAGTCAGAATGTGAATAGAATTCATTTTTCTCTCTATGGATGATGTAGAAGGTCTAAATTTGCAAAATTAGAGTACAAATGTGGATATAAACATGTGCAGCTTTGGTTTCTTATCTGTATGGCTTGTATGAGATTCAGATAATATGTTTGGTTAATATTATTTGGTCTATTCAGTGGGTGCTTCTATTAATGTTGTTTGTTATTTTGTCCAGGTGATTGAGAAATTATATTCCTCTTAGAGTCATTAGTGGATATGGTTATGGATATGGGTTATATTGTGATGGATATTGATGGAAACTTGGTTCAGGTGGAAATAAATTTGATCAATACATAAATCAAATATGTTGCAAATAACTTTCAAGGTGGTTGCTCATTTTCTTAATTATGTTTCTTGGACAGGAAGACCAAGTGTAATAGAAAAAAACTAAATCTTATTGTTTTCTAATGCAGTCAGAATGTGAATATAATTCATTTATCTCTCTATGGATGATGTAGAAGATCTAAATTTGCAAAATTAGAGTACAAATGTGAATATAAACATGTGCAGCTTTGGTTTCTTATCTGTATGACTTGTATGAGATTCAGATAATATGTTTGGTTAATATTATTTGGTCTATTCAGTGGGTGCTTCTATTCATGTTGTTTGTTATTTTGTCCAGGTGATTCAGAATAATATATTCATCTACTGATGTATAAAATAAATCTTTAATCTGTGTACACTGCCAATTTCTTTTGTAACAGATGTTTCTTCACAATGGCATTTAGTTTTTTTTTGGATTTAATAAATATTTCCTGAATTTGTTTCCATGTTTTATGTCTACATCTTGACAAGTGTTGGTTTTTATTTATATTATGAAGTTAACAAGTTTAAATGAGTTGTCACCACATGCCCCTTTTTTCTTTTGAATTTAAAATTTACCTCGTGGTTCAACTGTATCTCTGATTTATCTGATTGTGTTTTGTCAATGTTATGCCATTTCCCAACCTGAGGTAATTGTGTCACAAATGCATACATATGCAAGGGTGTGAGGGATCTTCGATTTAGTTATGCTCATGTTATTCTTATGGTGGGTTCTTTTGAAATAAAAGTATTTTATCTCCATTTGTGGAATTTCTGTGCACAGTTTGTTGAAGGTCCTGTTTTGAACTTCTTTAGATACCTTTGCAATGCACTTAAGTGACTAGCTATGGATGCACTTGATCTGTCATATTTCAAGTACACCTAATGGTTTTTACCCCCAATCCAGATGGCTCGTACTAAGCAAACTGCTCGCAAGTCCACTGGAGGGAAGGCTCCAAGGAAACAACTTGCCACCAAGGTCTGATTACTACTTTCTAATTAACACTTTGAGATCAGTGTCTGTTGCCTCTATCTTAATATGTTTATCTCCTGTCCTCCTTGCCGTTTCACTTTCTTCATGTAATTGTTTTCTGTTGTTTGTTTAGGCTGCTCGCAAATCAGCCCCTACCACTGGCGGAGTGAAGAAGCCCCACCGTTATCGGCCTGGGACTGTTGCATTACGGTATGCTCTGTGATACTGGTGGGGTTGTGCTGATCTGTTCTTTATTTTTTTTTTCTCTTTTGTTGTCTTCAACTTCTTATTGTTCGGCTTGGTAATGGAAAAAATGTTAGTGAGATTCGGAAGTATCAGAAGAGTACAGAGCTTCTGATAAGGAAGTTGCCATTTCAGAGGCTTGTTAGGGAAATTGCCCAGGATTTTAAGGTAAGTAGTTTGAATTGGTGACATTATATGTTGGTGGTTCATATGATGTATGAGTCCTTGCAATTGCTTGTATCGTGCAGACTGATCTGCGATTCCAGAGCCATGCAGTGCTTGCTTTGCAAGAGGCTGCTGAAGCCTACCTGGTGGGTCTCTTCGAGGATACCAATTTGTGTGCCATCCATGCCAAGCGTGTGACCATTATGCCCAAGGATATCCAATTGGCCCGGAGGATCCGTGGTGAAAGGGCTTAAAGATGACTGTTTTTGTCTCATCTGTTATGCATGACACTAGCTGTTAACAGTTGTCGGACTTTGTGTTATCCATGCTGCTCTCGTGCTTAAAACAAGCTGAACTTGTAGTACTAGGTTTCATAGTAGTATGACTCTGTGTTGGATCCATCCTGTTATTGATGACTGATAGTTTTTCTTGTGTGCCAATCTGTAACTGAGACGAATCTATATGTTATCGTCTCTTCTATAGATGTGTGATACGACGTATCCCGAGTGTTCGTTGTTTGCATTTAATATGGCCTCGTCAATGATCTCAAACGCATTCAGATGTCAGGTGTTTTCTAGCTCATTGTTTTATTAGATGCTGGGCGTCTGGTTGTGATGCATGTTATACTTAAGTGCATCGAGATTGTTGCTTTAGCTATCGCTGAATGCGTATGTATATCGAGAATGATGCTTTCCATTCAACATAAGAAAGCTTTTGTCAAACTAATATAAATGTATTCTCCAAATCTAGGAGAGTTAATTATAGATGAGTTTATAGTAATTATCTTACGAATCTTTATACTAACAAAGTGATGTATTGAGATGTTTGGATAGGTTAAAAAGTTAAGTTTAAAAAATAAAAAATAAAAAATAAAAAGGTTTTGTTAGAAGTATAAAATTATTAAAGATAAATAATTAACCTAATTCGAGAAGTGTCTCGACTAATTTAAATATAGCCTCTAAAAACCAGTTGGTGGCTCTTAATACTTAAAACAGCCACTCCCCACCTTTCCTCAAAGCTACGTAATTGTTCTTTCTCTTTCTTGCAGTATGCCACTTACTTTAAATCTTTCAATCATCTGCTGCCATTCTATTCCAAAACCAATGCTTTATTCCGATCCGCGAAACCTCTCCCGCATGCCATGTCCCCGAGGGGTGTGTTTCTCCACAACCTCCGGATTGGATCCCTCGGCCGCGCCGGCCAGCTCGATGCCGCCCGCCAACTGTTCGACCGAATGCCCACCCGTGACACCGTTTCCTGGAACGCCATCCTTACCGCCCACTGGCAGAACTCAGACCTCGAGGGGTCGAAGCGGCTCTTCGACTCCATGCCCCAGAGGAACACCGTGTCTTGGAACTCCATCATCGCCGGTTGCCTCGAAAACGCGAGGCCCGATGAGGCGCTCGACTACTTCGCAAAGATGCCCCTCAGGAATGTCGCTTCGTGGAATGCCATCGTCTCTGGGCTCGTAAAGTATGGCCGGTTCGAGGAAGCCGAGAGGTTGTTCGAGACGATGCCGGCGAGGAATGTGATCTCATACACCGCGATGGTCGATGGTCTCGCGCGGAAAGGGGAGGTTGACAGGGCCCGTGATCTGTTCGATAGAATGCCGAAGAAGAACGCGGTCTCATGGGCTGCCATGATAAGTGGGTGCGTGGAGAATGGGAGGTACGAGGAGGCCAGGTATTTGTTTGACCGGATGCCAGAGAAAAACCTGGCTGCCATCACAGCGATGATCACAGGGTACTGCAAGGAGGGGAATGTCGAGCAGGCGAGGAGCATATTTAATGGGATTAGGCACAAGGATCTAATCTGTTGGAATGCGATGATGGCCGGTATGGTTGGAAGATTTTTAGCTTGAATTTCTTTCAAGTTAGGCACTGTCTGGAAGATAAGTGAAAAAAAAAATCCGACATAATTCATCTTAACAATGGAGCTTTAACAATTCATGGAGGCTTCTGAAAATTCATTGAATAATTCCAAAGGGCCTTTTTAATTTGTAAAAACGCTTCATAACGTAATCTTGTTCTGAGAAAAATTCTTATAGTTGATCAGAGGCAATTGAATAAATGGTCTCTTAAGTTTTGGGCTTAGGTGAGCAGTGTTTATCAGTCAAGCAAGAGAGTGCCGCCCTAGGAAGATGTGAGGATCCCTGTGGTGAACAACTAATGCAACATTTGTTATACCTGTGAAACATAGTGCTTGGATACTTGTCCAGGCATATGATGCATGTGTCAATATCGTTCAGCTTGCTCAAGTGACTTCAAAGTATCTCATCCTGATCTCTTGTGTCTTTAATTCTTCTTTCATCTATAAACTTCAAATTATCCGGTTTCCCATTCTCGAGTTTCATATCGCACACTTCCACTGTCATGGTTCTTTACAGTAGGTCATGTCTTTCCATAGTATATCATTCTATACCTTCTTGTATGATTGTACTTGGGTACCCTTTTTAACAGTGTTGTCGATTTCATGTCATTTACATTGTTTAAAGAACATATAGAAATTAAGAATATGAACTGTCTAGCAATTTCTTGGTGCCTCTATTTTATGTAGCATTTGTTCGAACTAGTCATGCTTGAGCTCATCTCTGTATCTTTGTTATTTTATTTTTATTTGCAGGCTATGTGCACAACGGGCATGGTGAGGAAGTGCTGAAACTGTATATCCAAATGCAAAATACAGGCATGAAACCGGACCATGCTACGCTTATTGCGGTCGTGACAGCATGTTCTGCTCTGGGATTGCTACAAGGAGGGAAGCAAACTCATGCTTTTGCCATTAAAACTAAATTGCTCTTGAATGTATCACTATGTAATGCTTTGATAACTATGTACAGCAAGTGTGGTTGCATTGGTGATTCACAGTTCATCTTTCAGAACATTCAGAATAGAGATCTGGTCTCCTGGAACGCAATTATTGCAGCATGTTCGCAGCATGGTGACTATGATAATGTTCTTTCTCTATTCAGTGAGATGGAAGAAAAGGGCATGATACCAAATGAGATCACATTCCTCAGTATCTTGTCTGCATGTGGGCATGTGGCAAAAGTTGAGGAGTGCTTAAATTGGTTCAATCTGATGATGTCCAAGTACAGGATACATCCAAGGGCTGAACATTATGCATGCCTTGTGGATATGCTGTGTCGAGCAGGACATTTAGAGAAAGCATGTAAGTATATTAGAGAAATGCCGTATGAAGCAGAGACTTCTGCCTGGGGTGCTGTGCTGGCAGCCTGCCGAATGAACTCCCATGTTAAGTTAGGAGAATTGGTTGCTAAGAAGCTAATTCTGTCGGATTCTAGGACGTCGGGGGCGTATGTGATGCTATCAAATATTTATGCTGCAGCTGGTATGTGGAGGGAAGTAGTTAAAGTGAGAGGCTTAATGAAACAGAATGGAGCCAAGAAACAACCCGGATACAGTTGGATTCAGATTGCTGACAAGGTTCATTTGTTTTCGGTAGGAGATGCATCACATCCGGATATTGATAAAATTCTTTCTGAGCTTGAGAGGATAGGTTTTCATATGAAAATGTTTAGTCATTATGCTAACTTGTCCTTGTAGTAGAGGCACATCTTTCAAAGACTAGCTTGTATGCAGATGAGATATTTATACTTCCGCTAACAAGAAGCATTATATTGTAACTAATTTAAATGTAACATATGCATATGTAAGAAATAGCAAGTAAACTTTAGGTCAAATTGTTATATCTTTTCCAGTTCAAGGGGTGTGATTAAATGTTGTGCTGCATGTTCCATGTGTTCTTAGAGAGGCTATTGTCCTATATGATTTCAGAACTTGGATAAATACAAGTCTGTAAAGCTTGCAAGTTTTTGAATGATCTTCAAGTATCGAAAAGTAAGAACCGCATTAAGTTCAGCTTGTTTCTTATAGGAGCTAAGTTGAAAAATTGTAAGAACAAGGACCAGTTATAACTCTAGCAATCTGTTGTTTTCTCGAATTTGATTATTTGTTTATTTTTCATGTGTGTGCACATGTAAATGTATGGACCAATTTTGATGATCTAGTCTGGTTATACCTTTAATTAGGCTATTTTTATGGAGCTTCTTTTTGTATCAGGAATTACTGCAGTCGTCTTGTTCTTCTTTGCTTTTTTACATAGTGAAAGTTGATCTTTTGTCCATGAATGTAGGGTTACAAGCTGAATTATGTTATTCTCTCTGGTCATTCTTTATATTTCACAGAAACCTTGTGTGGTTATTTAAGATGAAATTTTATCGTGAGTAGAACATGGTAAGTATGTAGATTTTAGTTGTCGAGACATCTTGATACCCGACGTAAAAAAGGTTGCGATGCAGCTGGATTTGCTTAAGTGTGGGTTTAGATTAGTTAGGATTAAGTTTGAATTTATTGCAGTCATATATAGTGACACTTGTGTTTTCTATCAGTGTCATATCTTTAAGATTTTGGTCAACTGCTTCATTTTCATAGTTATATTCAGTTGGAGAGAAGTCCAATCATTGGCTTTAAACTGGTGGCTATATTAAACGTGATTGCCCTCTGCCACCATCCAAGCTTTCCTCCCTGAGGTCAGTGTTACAATCTTTACCCACTATCAGTCTTTTACTACAATATGTTTCAACAATTGCTGTATTCTGCATTATTCTATGAGTTTTAGCTTTGACTTTGGAACTGTCTTTGCTATTTCCACCTTGATGTCTTAGCACCCACGTCTCTAAAGTTGCATGTTATGCCATAAGTTATCAGATGATTTTGTCTCTTGAATTATACAATAATAATTGTGTTGTTACTTCTTCTGCATATGTTTGCATGTTTTGTTCCAATTACATCTCGACTCATGCAAGAATCTCTTCACAACTTGTGTTTCAATAGTCTGCATAAATCAGTGGGCTCATGCAGTGGATATACAAAAGTCAAGTGCAGCATACTCTTTCCGACAATACTGACCTTTCCATTGTAGACTTACTTGGTTTCTACTGATACTACTGATCTGTTCATACTGGTGAATGATGTTTCTTTCTTCATTTATCTGAAACCTTCCTGCCCAGTAGCTGTTTGATCTTATGTCATTGTGACTTGTGATCTGCCTTCGAAAGCTGCATCTGTTGTGCACAATTTTTTCTGCCTGGTTTCTTGCATCTGAAATCAGTGGGCCGAATCACTGTTATGATCATTGTGATGCGCAATGTGTCGTACCATCGGACAGGTCACGTGACACAGGAAATATCATTATGTGGGAGTTGTTGCGTTGCGGACTCGATTTCTTTTATTGCTTTCATTTAATTTGCTGTAATTACGTGAATTGGAACTTTTCCTATACATAACAGTCTATTAGCTATCTTTTTTCTGGACAAATCACTGTCCACCCAAATGATCCCATTGTGAAGCAGAACATATAAATAAATAAATATATATATCTTTAATAAATTCAATCAATCGATTGATAAGAAAATAAATTGTTCCATCAGAAATTTATTGTTGACAACGTTTTCCTTTCATGGGCACCCAGTTTTTCCCAGGTCAA